TAAATCCAGAATGTCCTTGAAAAAAGGATATTATGCAATATTGCTCTCTATAAACCTCTTCCCCATAATTTTATTAATTAAACAGCAGCACACTGCTTCACTTAGCACAAATGGGAAAAGTATTGGAAAGTTTGTTCATTTAAAACCATCTATGGCTGTGCTCCGAATTTGCCTTGGGTCAAACGGAAATGGAATATTTTTGTGAAACAATCATACACATGACACTATGCTACAAGAGTATTATTGAGTGTAACAAATTCTGAGTGAAAGTCTGTCTTCATAGTTACTGTTACTTTTCCCATAATTTTGTATAAAATATTATATCTAAAGATAAAAGCTTTGTAATAGGAAAAGTCATTCTATGACCAAATTGGAAGGAAGTATAAAATACAAAGCTCTTGCTTCATATAACACATGTTATAGCAGATGATACCTTCGAAGTTCAAAAATATAGTCTCTTGTTCTTATCAAAACAGCAGCCTTCATTCTAAAAAACTAGTTTCAGTATTTTAGTATCATTCTTAAAATAAAGAAGTGAGAGGAGCAATATTCTATTACTGAATTTTTCCTTTAAAATGTGAGATTATTAAAAAATTGTATATACTTGTTTGGGTTTTTTATTGACATTGATTTTAGAACATAACTTCAGTTAAAAGTACTCTCACAAAAATCATATGAGGTAAAAATTCATATCACCACTAAGATAAAGCAAAATTCTAAAGCAGCACTAAGAGGTTAAGTATTTTATGCAAGTCTTATAGCTAATAAGTAAAGGATAAAGGCAGGATTTGAACTCAGGTCCCATTGGCTTCAGCATTCATGCTCCAATTAGTATTTGATACAGAGTAACAGCTTTTTTCTACATAGAAAGTCCGAAAGTCATTACTGTGATTTTACTTTTTTTTTAAATAATAAGAATTAGACTTTTAAGAAAAATCTTAGTTTACCAGAATTTCCAATGTGGTTTCCCTAAATGAAAATATTTGCTTTTGTCTTTTAGATTATATCAAGGCTAAAAGACTTTACTTTTTGTAAGTGGAAATTAGGTTCATAAAATCATATTATCCAAATACACTTGCTATTATCCAAACACAGTGGCTTCATTTTTTGGTTAGCCATATGAATTCTAGTGAGTAAGATTTAAAGAGTGGAGATGTAGGTGCTAATGCTGCATCCACCCATCTCACTGGAGATTATTTTACAACTAGTTGCAGTCTTTTTTTTTCAGAAGATAAGGCCAGAGACTTTTTTTTTTATGAGATTAGGGTCTGTGCATCTAACCCAAAGTCTCCTGTATACATTACTAAAGTACACTCATGTACTTTCATGGCGCTTAAAGGTTGATAAATCCTGCAAATCTGTTCAGGATTTAGAATATATTCAGGAAAATCTCAAAAACCAGACTGCAAACATTTTCATAATGCAAGTTTTCTGAATAAGTATAAATATGCAACCATATAAAAACATTCTCCTGACTGCTGATGAACTCAAAGTCAGCCTCCTACAGCACACATGCCTCACAGTTACAGTGATTAGCATACCAAGGTGGGCCTGTCTGTGAAGCAGACAGGCCTTGATTTGTAGACAATCTGTAGATAAAGTATATGCAAACAAAACCTGGACAGAAATATGCTTTAGTACATTATTTTAATGATTCTGGACAATGCAAACATTATTTTTAGCAACTGAAGTCCACGTATCCCAGAAATTGCATTTGATCAAAACTGTATAGAAAAATATGTGTAATTATATCTATGAATGCTGCAAGTATGTTTAATGCTTTATTTTTTCCTGTGGAGCTTGCATGCCAGTATGTGTGTGTGTGTGTGTGTGTGTGTGTGTGTGTGTGTGTGTGTGTGTCTGTGTGTCTGTGTGTGTGTGTGTGTCTGTGTGTCTATGTCTATGTCTGTGTGTCTATGTGTATGTGTGCATGAATATGTTTAAAATTTTTTAAAGATAAATTAACTTAGGCATTTAAAATCAGATGGATAAACTTTAATATGGTAACTGAAATTCTGAAACAATGCCCCAGTTCATGGTTAAAAAGAATGTTTCTTTTGGGGTTGTTTTTTTGTTTTGTTTTGTTTTTCTTTTCTTTTTTTTTCTTTTATTATTTTACTTAGGAGAGGAAAATGCTATTTGAAGATTTAGAAACCGGTCCGGAAATCCCTTGTCCATTGTAGAATACAAAAAAAAAAAAAACTGAATCCCATTTTTTGTTTCTGTACAAGTTTATCAATTTTTGATGATGCTTTCACTGTTTTGAGCCACAGAGTTTCAAGCCAAAGCCTTTATAATCTATTTCAACATGGCAAAGCTATCATCATGCTTTCTGAAAATAATGGCTTCCATGAGATGGTTATAATAGATCATCCTGAATTAGAAACCCTTTATGTAGTTGCTTTCAAAGCCAGCAAGTGATCTGAAATGGAATGCATGCCTCTTTGTTCCATTCCCTGTGCCCCACACTTTGAATCTAACAAAAGTTCCCCAACTACCTACCTTGTGGAATATAAAAATGTATTATAGTACAAGATGGCATATGCAGAAACGAGGACAATGTCTAATCTAGACAGAGCGTAGAACTTGGAAAACACCTCGTGGAGCAAAAAGGAAAGAAATTATTGATGACAATGATAAATATAATAAAATAATAATTTGGTTGTGAAGGATGAATAAGCATTTCCCAATACTAAAGATTTTACTTTTCTTGTAACGATGACTTATAGACAACACTAGATTAAGTATGTTTCTATTCCAGTATTAGAACATTAAGAAAGTTTAAAACTTATCATATATCTACAATACTAATGATTTCAAAAAATGATTTTGGCAACCAACTTTGTGGCAATGATTTCTTATTTACTTATTTATTGAGAGTTGTGAGGCTTGAACTCAGGGCCTGATTACTGTCCCTGAGATCTTTTCGCTCCAGGCTAGCACTGTACCACTTTGAGCTACAGTACCACTTCTGGCTTTAACTGGAGATAAGAATCTCATAGGGACTTTCTGTCTGGTCTAGCTTCAAACCACAATCCTCAGATTTCAACTACATGAGTAGCTAGGATTCCAGGCATAACCCACCAGTGCCTGGCTGATTTCATATTCTCATAGTAATTGTTGACAAAGTTTTAATGATAAATCTGTGTTTTAATCAGAGTTTAGGGGGAGAAAAGATATGCAAAGTTTAGCTGTTGAATGTAAAATGTGAAATACATGAGTAATAGATAAAATAAACAAATAATAAATGTGAAGTCAGAGCAAAATGTGTGAAAATGATAAAAATGATTTATGATTTTTATCATCAGACTTAGATTAAGTCACCAGGACTTCAGTAGTTATAGCACTATGTAAATTGCAAGTCATCACTCCAGATCCTAACAAAATAGAGATAAAAACATTTTCTTTCATGTGAAAGTGTTCGTGGTTGGCTCCTGATTATGTAGTTAAGGACTAAGACAAATGTGAACCACAAAAATCAGATGGCCAGACATCATCCAGGAAACGAAGACCACGTGAATCTTCACAAAGGAAGGGCCGTTTGAGGAAAGGTGAAAGAGAATGTTAACCACTAGAAAGAGTCTGGTAAAAGCAGTTTAAGGAGACGGTCTTTATTAATGCCAGAATACAGGAAACTGGATAAATACCAGTTTTGGAGGATATCACATATGGAGACATATTTCCTGGGAATCATCTATTTTTTTTACTTGATAAACATTAATATTTATTGTTATTCTTGGTATGATAATCCAAGCCATCACCAAAATCATTGTAATATTGTTAAAAAATACATATATCTGAGTACCACCTAGAGATTCAGATTCAATAAAGCTAAGTCCAGTCTAAATTTTTTTTAAAAGCAGACAAAAATATACTCACTACTGCCAGGTGCCTGTGACTCATGCCTATAATCCTAGCTAATCAAGAAGCTGAAATCTGAGGATCACAGTTCAAAGCCAGCCCGAGCTAGAAAGTCCGTGGGATTCTTATTTCCAATAAACCACTAGAAAACCAGAAGTGGTGCTGTGGCTCAAACGGTAGAGTGCTCGCCTTGAGCTGAAGAGCGCAGGGACAGCGCCAAGCACAGAGTTCAAGCCCCACGACCAACAAAAAAATTATATATATATATATATATATATATATATATATATATATGCTCACTACCTTATGTATGTAACTGTAAACTCTCTGTACATGACCTTGACAATAAAATTAAATTAAAAAGAAAACACCAGAGGTTAATTTCCATCTAACATGGAGCCACTATATTGTTCAAACCATGACAATAGTATTCAAATGTCAATGGGAGGTGCCACATTTATGTCCACATGCAAGTTTGGCAAATTTGTTACCTGACTAACTCTGTTGTCCTACAAAAACTAACTCTGTAGTTTTCTCTGAGACTGCTATTATAATATCATATAATTGTGAGTCCACAAGATGGAGATCTATAAAAGGAAGTTTGATGCAGTTGATACATATCAGCTTTTCGAATGAAATCCTAGTTACAATAGTAATAATTGACACTTCAAAACTGTATTTGTGATGGATATAGTTCAAGTGTATAGTGTTCTTGCTGAGCAAGCACAAAGCTATGAGTCATGTTTTAGCCTTTTCTCTGTGTGAATCATCTCATTTAATATACACTAATAGCTAACATTTTACTAAAACCAATTTGTATTGAAGTAACTGTATTCTAGATGATAGTATGACTCTAATTCCTAGTGAATGAGGTTTTTCATGTGTAAAACAGTATTATTGCCCAATATGGAAAAGTTTACTACTACATACAAGGCATCATTTTTTAGTTGTTGTTGGATTATTGTTGTCTGTTTCTCTTCAGGGAGTAAAGACTGTGGAAAGTGAGCCTAATCCCCTTAGAACTGTTTATTTTGAATCAAGCTAAGATCCTGGGATACAAAATCCATATCGTCAACCATGGCTAACATTTATTAAGCACTTATTTGCTCTTCTCAGTGGAAAACTTTACATGTTCTCACAATCAACCTGTGTGGTAGCAACTGAAAAACAGTCAAGGTCTGCAGCTAGTGAGGCTATTCTACCATTTGACTTTAAGGGATCTGTACAAGAAGACACCCCTGTCAACTCTCTGAACTAAATTATTCATAGAACAATGTCAGCTATATCAGTAATGCCCTGAAGAGTCATAATGCATATTTAAATACTATGCAAATAGTCAACAGGATGCATTAAGACACAGCAATTCCTCTTTAGCACCTCTATCTTAGAGCCAGCTAGAGTTGCTTCCAGCTTTATAACTCTCAATCTGTGCTCTATACTCGTGTATTCTAGGTTTTCTTATTTTAAATAGAGACTATAATTTATACTCTGTATACTCTATATTTTAACTTGGTTTCATTTTGATGCATTTCAAATGTAAAATAAAGGAAGAATTGATTTGAGGACTTTCATTGTTTCAAAGGCCAATATCTATGATTTTGCACAAATCACTCAACCTTCCTTGACTTTCAGGATCCTCATCTATAAACATGGAAAGACATAAAATGACACATATTTTACCCATTTTCCATTCTCCTCAGAATTTAGCAAGACAGTGGAATGGAATTTTCCAGCACTTATGCTGAACAGAAACTTCAACTAGAACAATGCTCCCTATGGAAAAATATCTTCACAAAAGCTATGGAAACGAGCTAACAGATTTTACTACCTGGGGATAGCACAGAAGTGTTATCTTGTGCTATCTAAGGACAATGTTTTGGCCAGTGGCAAGCCTCTTACCAGACCTTGGAACCCCCAGGATTAAATGGACTAAACAACTCTTATAGTGTAAAGGTGTCACAGCCTTTAAAATCAGCATGGGATGCATTATGCATTATTGGTCTGTCTATGGTGATATTAATATGAAATCTTTAAAAGCAGAGCACATGCAAATCTTCAAACTATAACAAACAACTCCATGAATAGTATACATATTTGCTTATATACTTTTATTAGTATCTCAAATATATACCTACTTACAGAACAATTTAGAGCAAAGTAATATACTGTGATGCCCACAACAGCTTCATACATCTCATGTGCAGAGCACAAAGAGGCCACATGGTGTAACTGACCTTCACTATCTAGATTTGAGTTATGCATACACCATAATGTCACCACAGTAATGGAATCACCTAACAAGTGTTAGATGATTTCATTGTTAAGTGATGCATGACTGTAACAAAAGAAGTGCTGAAAAAAATCAGGAATGACAGATATATCACCCACAGCCCACTCTTATGTGTTTTCTTCATATTCTGTAAGGAGTAGAGAGAATTCTTCTTACTCACATCACCCTCTCCCCAACCACAGGCAGCACAGCACACACACAGGCATTGGAAAGAGAGGAAAGGGAGCCTCAGACTGTGCCATGGATATCTCATGAAAACTGAAGTTAAGCAAGCTCCCACAGCCCTGATTCAGAGCTGATATTTATGCAAGAAGCTGCTAGATTTTTCACATGCTAGGCTTTTCCTCACAGCCCCAGGATTCCAGCCTGCCTAGCAGGCTTGGTCTACGGGATGATCCAGTACCAAACCCATACCAATACCCTGAGATATACCAGATGGCTCCAGTGCCAGATTGACTCCAGCAGTCTTAGGCTTAGGAGCTTTCCTGGAGTCAAATTATCTCCCACAAATAGATCCCAGACCTGTTCTAGAGAACAAGCCAGCATCAGTGGCTCCACACTATGGACCAAAGCATTGATTGGCTACCAAGGCCCTTGAGTTGAAGTTCACTCCAGCACCTTCCTCCAGAGCTTTCTTAAGATTACAGACCAGGCCAGAGCCAGGTAGGTTCCTGTAAACTTCAGTTCACAAACCTGCTCCATCTCTACAGCTGTAAGTGTGTCTTCATCCATAAACACATGATCCAGGTCTGCCCAGCGACAAACAAGTCTTCTTAAACAATTTTTAGGCTTCTGGTGTGTTCTTAAACACAGCTAACGTGTGGAGGTCTACTCAAAGAGATTTAAAGTTCAGACCTGTACTTAGTGAACCTAGTCTTGGACTAGCTCCCACAGAGCAAGGCTGTGGGATCACCTCTGTAGAACCAGAGTCCAGACTATACCTGTTGTTCTTGAACTAAGACTAGCTCTCATGAACATCTAGTTCCTAGGCCAACAGCCTACACTCATTCTGCAGTCTGTCTCCAGTTGACTGGACCAAGTCTCCAAAGTAGTGCTCATGGCCCAGATTTTGAAATGACCCCACGTTCTCATCCACATAACCATGGACTAGACTAGCACCTGCCACCTTAGGCTCTAGATTAGACACTATGGTCCAAGGCTCCATCAGAAACCCAGCACCAAAGCTATCCCTAGACTCCAGACTATTAACCATGGACCCAGGTTCCAGAAGACCTAAGGTCCAAGCCTAATAAACCCTGATGCTAGGCAAACCCCTCCATTTTGGGTTCCATCACAACTACAGAGTATTTTCATAGCATTCTCCATGGAAGGCTTCAGGCCTATATATTGCAAAGTCTGGAACTAGTCCCTTTAGTCCCTACATATTTAAGCTCAAGGCCTATCCCAGTACAGGGTGATCTCCTGCTACAACAAAACAAACAACCAACAAATAACCCAACTGAAAAAAAAAATGGACAAATATCTTCTACAGATATTTCTCAAGAGAAGACTTACATGGATGTTTAGAAATGAACATTTAAAATGCTGAAAACCTTTTTGACTATTACTCAGAAGAATGAGGCATCATACTATTTAAATCTTAGAGATGACTTGTGTTTATGCTTTTTCTAATGACCTAACCTCAGAGAAAATAATTGTAAATAGGTATTTAAGTTTGACCTAGAATCATAAGAAAAAATTATAAATGAAAATAAATGATTAAATATTTTAGATAAACTAAGTACATTTAGGAATATTTAAGTGTATTTGGTTATATATCTAGTATTTATAAAACTATTTAGTTCTTAGTAACTATATCATAATTGTAGTAACTTAAAATGTATTTTAAAATATATATAAATTTAAAAAAAATTGTAGGAATTTATGGCCATATAAGAAGGAGTATCTATTCCTATAAATATGAAAACAACTCAATAGTAATAAAGTGTTTTGTATAGCTTTTTGTATAGCTCTTTTCATAGATTTTCATTTTCTTCATAGGATATAAATACATAATATTTCTCCACAGCTATGTATGTAAATATGATAGTTTAATCAGACAATCATCAGAAGTGTTTCCTAATCAAATTCTTACCCAGTTTTTAATATCTTTTATAATTTTCCTTGATAGAAAATAAGAATACAATTTATTTTAGAAACAAAATACATGTAATAAACACACTCTTTTAATGTGTAAAAATGATTTTTGAATTTTTATATGAGGAAAGAATGTATGCTAGTAATTCCACATCAGTATAATAAATGAGGCATATATTTTAAAATGTGATAAAATGAAACACAAGAATCTAGTATCCAAATTAGTATCTATTTATTTAGTTTTGTTTAATGCATGTACTTTATTAGAATGATTCTTTCAATACCAAGATGCATGACTTTCGATTTTTCACAGTTAAACACATACATTTAAAACACCAAAGCAACACATCTAATATACACCATGTAACTGGCAGATGACAAAAGGAAATGAACATAAGAGTACTTCAGTAGAAATTAATTTGAGATGTACCAGACTGATCAATTCTCTATTGGAATCCAGTGGTAGATGCATTGTACTTCGAGTTGGAATATTTCCAGGACCTCACAGCCTGAAACATGAATTTTGACATCCAAATCGTATTTATTTATAATATGTTCTGGTAATATTTAGTTTGGGTACTGTGTAAACATTTCTATTTCCTTTTCAATCACGAAGCAGATTTTAACACTGTAAAGTAATCTTATGTATAAGATGAAAAACAGAAAACACAAATAGTAAATATGGTCTTTAATTTCATTTGTGTCAACATTTTCTTTTTAGGCTTTTTTGTTATTGATTCATTTTGTTTTCATTGTTGTCTTGTTTTCTTTTCCCTCTATGAAAATATTCAATTGGTGGGGACAATTATTTGTGTTCATAAGATGATATTCTGGGCCAAGTTAGGATGATGAGAAAGGTTTTACAAATGAATCTAGAGTTATCTGTAGGAAATCAACCCACCACCCATATTTAAACCATCATTCATTCCTCTAGTAACCCTTCATGCCCCAAGGAAAGGAAAAAAGTTGAGGCTCAGCTGATGCCAGTTCCCTTTACTACTGGCTGATGCCTCCCTGTTCTAGGCACAGCTTCTGTGTTAGTCTTCCCTTTTCCCATCTTGGGTCTCCATTTCCTCTTACCTAAGCAAGGCTTAAGAGCAGACCAAAACTTGGGGAGCTACCAAGCCAGTGGCAACACAAGGTAATCCACCCTACTCTGCCATGAGATAATTCTTTGCTAAGCATTATACTTCTTCTAAATTATCACAATCCAAGATGACCCAAAAGAAAGTAACGCATAAATAACACACCAAATCAATACTCAGATTATTACATAATGTTTGTTTATATATTGCCACTTCTAATTTTTTTTCTTCCTTATTGAAAGTCAATACATTCTGTCATCTAACAAATTGATTATTGGAGATGACATTCTTTATTTTCACATCTAAATATAAGTTTTTATTTAATAACTTTATGAGGGATACTAATAATACATGAAAAAGTGATGCTAAATATTTCTTTCTCCTAAATCAAACCAGAGTATAATGTGTGCTCAAATTCAATGCTCCCTCTTCAAAGGGAATGAGTCATGTGTTCATTCAGTTGGTAGATTTTCTACTGCAGCTCTTCTACTTCAAAATCAGATATCAACAGCTGTTTCACTTACAGCATATATTCTAGAACTTCCTGACTGGGTATTTCATTACTTCTGTTAATTTTCTTTTTTAGTATTTAAAAGTTATTTCTAAGTAGTTGTACAAAGTACTTGCCATTTAATAAAGTAGTTTAGGAATACAATATATCTTGATCAATGTTACTAATTGCAACACCATGGTCATAGTAACATAATTGATCCAGAATAAAGACAGCCACTGCTTTTCCCACCACTGGCGGGCAGTGTTAAGGGCTTACTCTACTAAAGGATTAAAAGGTGTTGTTTTCATTTCTTAAAAAACAAAACAGGTAACACATATTTTTTCTTTAGAATAAGTAGTGTAAATGTTTCCAAACACTTTTTGTTTTGTTTTGTTTTATTTTGGGTCCAGTCGTGGCGCCTGAACTCTGGGCCTGGGCGCTGTCCCTCAGCTCTTCAGCTCAAGGCTAGTGCTCTACCACTTGAGCCACAGCACCACTTCTGGCTTTTTTCTTTTTGCTTATGTGGTGCTGAGGAATAGAACCCAGGGCCTCTGGCATGCAAGGCATGCTCTCTACCAATGAGCCACCTTCCCAGCCCTGTTTCCAAACACTTATATCTCAAGGAGATTAGAAAACTTAGTCAAAAAATGTAGAGGAAGAGTGAGCTAATATCATCATTATATTCAATGTACATTATATAAAAATGAACTATGTAACTTGAGGGTAGAGAGAAGAGGAGGAAAATGATGGAGACTGTAGGAAATGGTGACATTGGCCAAGAAGCATTGTACTCATAACCTGACTTATAAAATTCTAACCCCTTTGCACAACTACCTAATAACAATAAAAATGTTTATTCAATGTTTGATGAACTTACATGACATTTTTGATCCTCACATGATTTTAGTTATTATTTTAAATAAATGTATGCCTCCACTGGTATATCTTTGCCAGTTCATTTTAGACCCAGAAGACGAATTATTTAAATCCAATGTAACACGATAGGTTGTATTTGAATATTGATTTAAAAGAGTCAAATATCTTTTATATAATTAAGTTCAGACAACTTATAAACTTCAGTAGCATAAATATAAATAAATAACATTTTGCTTAGTATGTATTAAAGTTATTCAAAACTATAAGAAAAACAGTCAAGAACACGTCTATAAATATAATGATCTTCCTGGCATGTGAAATGTTCATTAGAAAAATTTCTTTTTTTATTTTTAAATTTTTTATTGTGAAAATACTGTACAGAGGGGTTACAATTACATAGGCAAGATAATGAGTACATTTCTTATCAAGCATTGTAACCTCCTCCTTTGTTTTCCCTTCCCATCCCATCTTCCCCCCTCCCCCCTACCCAACCCTCTGAAGAGGAAAGAAGGATGGCCAATAGACACATGAAGAAATGCTCAACCTCCCTAGCCATAAAAAAATGCAAATCAAAGCAACATTGAGATACCACCTCACCCCAGTTAGAATGGCTATAATCAAGAACTCTAATAACAACAGATGCTGGAGGGGATGTGGACAGAAGGGAACCTTACTGCATTGTTGGTGGGAGTGTAAACTTGTTCAACCACTCTGGAAAGCAGTATGGAGGTTCCTTAAAAGACTCCATATAGAGTTTCCCTATGACCCAGCAATCCTCCTTTTGGGGAAAGATTTCTTTTTCTGGGGGGGGGGGGGTGGGAGGTGGTCCAATCATGGGGCCTGAACTCTGGGCCTGGGTGCTGTGCCTCAGCTCTTCAGCTCAAGGCTAGCGCTCTACCACTTGAGCCACAGCACCACTTCCGGCTTTTTTTTTCCTTTTTGCTTATGTAGTGCTGAGGAATCGAACCCAGGGCCTCATGCCTGCAAGGCAAGCGCTCTACCACTGAGCCACCTTCAAGATTTCTTAAACATAGAGCATACACAATGGAATTTTTCACAGCCATTAGGAAAAATACTATTATGTCATTTGCAGGGAATTGGATGGACCCAGAGCAAATCACGTTAAGAGAGGTAAGCCAAGCTCACAGACAGAGGAGCATTTTTCCTCTCACATGTGGAAACTAAAACCAAAATACACCAGGACATGATAAATTATACAGGACTCTAGGCAGTCACACACCATGCAACTAAAGGGGGACACTCTTATAGGAGGAACACCAAGGCAAAATGCCTGTGTGCCTTGATCATATAAAATAATATTTATGGAAATGAATGCCAGGAACTGGAAACAAGCAAAACATACCTAGAACACACAAATATGAAAGAACAGTATTCCATTTCTTTCGAAGACTTACTGGTTATATTGTACAATATAATCGGCACTGTATTGTACATCATTCTGCATTGGTGTGAGTTGAAATTGAGAGAGTACGCATAAAGATGTTACACTGCAGTGTTCTTGACCCATCTACTCCACAGGACTCTCAACGGGAAACAATAGTGGGCCTCTTCCCTTCAATGTGCAGCACTCTTGTCAATGTTGGCCCACATTTTTCATGCTTCCCTGTGAAATGAAGTTGAATTGCCATCCCTGCATTTGCATACTATTTGGACGCTGATTGGTTTGGTTTGCTTTATTATTGAATTTATCCTCTCATACATCTATTATGCATATACATCTGCATCAAATACATCAGATAGATTATATAAAATAAATCTAAGTATCACACAGTGTAAAACCAAATACTGAACTTAAAATTGGTTATTATGGCTTGCAATGTGTCCATTTGGCCGTGGGGCACTGTGGAACTTGGTCTTCCATCAATTCAGCCAGCCACTTCTGCCGACCCTTGTTAAGTCAATTTAAAAAATGCACTTTACATTTGGGTTCATTAGTTTATTAAATGTCCCACTGGGAAAGTTGAAACTCTTTGGCAGTCATCCTATATTTGGTTTCTGCAATGCTGTTAATAAACATTGCCTTTGCACTTGAGAGAAAATACATCACTTGGGAGTAGATGATAAGAAATGATTTTTCTTCAGAAAATATACATGGCATCCAAAATTATATTAAAGATAGTGAAAGTTCCAAGACTTTTGGAAATCTTTGATGAAAGATTCTTATTAAAAGATTAAGATATATTAGCATTTATAATTGTGTTCTCCATGAATTTAGTATGTGAAAATTACTTACCTGGGGCTGTGTGAATTGCAAAAATTCATAAGATTAGGAGACAAATAGGAGTTAATAATGATTAAGAGTTAATAACCTACATGTGTTGGTGGGTTAAGGAAATCCACCTCCTGCAAAGAGCAAGGGTAGAATGGAGACAAGAAATGATCTACGTAGTTGTACTACATAATTATAGGAACTGTTTACCATAATTTTATAAATAAAAATAAAATAATCATAAATTATAGTTGCTTTGTTTGAGTAAATTTAGAGTATAGAAAACTAACTAAATTCCTCTTGACTCATGGTTGTCAAATTTATATCAAACATTCAGTGCACATTTTGGACATCAAATATACAACACAAATACATAAGAATGGTTAGAGACTTTCTTTACATTTATTTTTATGGTTAATGAAAGGGTATTTGAGTTAGAAGCAATGTAGAATAACAAGTGGAAGGAATGTATGCAAAAAAAAATGATTCATTCAAAAATGACCAGGTAATGGTGTGATTCTAGGGAGACCAATCAACAACAAAGCAGGCATTCTTGGCATAATTCAGAGACATTTCATAGAGTAAATGACAACTAAGCTGGACTGTAAGTAATAGGTAGTTTTTGAATGTGTAAGAACAATATCATCATGGATGAATCCCTTTGGGGGAGATAATTATTAAAAAAATGTTCTGCAGACAGGTACACAGGTGAGTGATGATAGTTCCTCAATGTTACATTTTCATACCCGATTCAAAACATATTATGTATATTTTATAAAAGTAATCTCCAAGTCTTTTTTCTTGGGGCTGAGTTACAGGAGTTCAGGTTTGAGACC